TCTGCCAGGCTGGAGTGCAATGGCGTGATCTTGGCTCACTGCAACCTCTGCCTCCCACGTTCAAGTGATTCTCCTGCCTCAGCCTCCTGAGTAGCTGGGATTATAGGCAGCACCACCACACCCGGCTAATTTTTCTATGTTTAGTAAAGATGGGGTTTCACCATGTTGGTCAGGTTGGTCTCGAACTCCTGACCTGGTGATCCGCCTGCCTCAGCCTCCCAAAGTTCCGGGATTACAGGTGTGAGCCACTGCGCCCAGCCTCCATACTGTATTCTCTAGAAGTAAGTTAGTAAGTCCAGGCCACACTAAGGTGGAGAGGAATTAATCTTCACTTCTTAGTGAAGGTTTTATATATGCATATAAAGGCTGAATATAATATCCTTCAAATAAAACCATAAAATGAGTGAACACATTGCTTGCTTGCCTGGGAAAACACTGGTTTCATGCAATGTGAACGAAACCCACATAATAGACAACAACCGGGGTAAGCAGAGAAAGAGCATGTTTTTGAATATATATATATATATATGTGTGTGTGTGTGTGTGTGTGTGTGTGTGTGTGTGTGTGTGTAATTTTGAATTCTTCTGTAAGGAAGATTTCTTCCTTCTCTATTTATTTATTCGATTATTATTTATATCAGTATGAACACAGTAAACTTAGTTGATATTCTGGGTTATAAGCCAGTACTATGTTACTTTGCTGCTCAAACATTTCCAGCTTTGGCCATTGGGAGCTCTTTAGGGTTGGCTTCTCTGTTCCTTTAACTGTTTTCATTCCCTCTTTCTCTCTCTCTTTTTTTGTCACTTTCTTTCTGTATTTTGGTATATTGCTTGAATTTTCTTTTTCTTTTTTTTAGACAGAGTTTTGCTCTTGTTGCCCAGACTGGAGTGCAAAGGCACAAACTCGGCTTGCTGCAACCTCCGCCTGCAAGGTTCAAGCAATTCTGCCTCAGCCTCCTGAGTAGCTGGGATTACAGGCGCCCTGCTACCACGCGTGGCTAATTTTTTGTACTTTCAGTAGAGACCGGGTTTCACCATGTTGGGCAGGCTGGTCTCAAACTCCTGACCTCAGGTGATGTGCCCACCTTGGCCTCTGAAAATGCTGGGATTACAGGTGTAAACTACCGCGCCCGGCCTATTGCTTGAATTTTCTACATTAGCATGATTAGAAAATCGTTTATGATTAGAAAATTAGAGGAACATAAATGCATATATGATTATTTTCACTTTAATATTGTGGAAAAAAGATCTGGCAACTATTCTGATAGTCTACCAACCAACTTCTGCTTGTTTCTCAACTGCCTTGCAAGGCAAGTGAGAGAGCAGAGAACTACTTCTCGCAGAAATTAAACTTCAGTAGCTATCTGTGAGTAGTAGGTAAAATGATGGTAATTGGAATAAACTTCAATAGTTTTCAAGTGTTGTGCATGTTAGATACAGTTAAAAAAAATTTCCAGGCCGGGCACAGTGGTTCATGCCTGGAATCCTAGCACTTTGGGAGGCTGAGGCAGGAGAATCACTTGAGGTCAGGAGTTCAAAACCAGCCAGGCCAACATGGTGAAACCCCGTCTCTACTAAAAATACAAAACAAAACAAAACAAAAATTAGCTGGGCATGGGGGTGGACGCCTGAAATCCCAGCTTCTCAGGAGGCTGATGCAGGAGAATCGCTTGAACCTGGGAGGCGGAGGATGCAGTGAGCTGAGATGGCGCCATTGCACTCCAGCCTGGGTAACAGCTCGAGATTCCATCTCAAAAAAAAAAAAAATTTTTTTTTCCTGGAGTGGGGTTTGTATTCAGTCATTCAGTAACACTGATTGCATACCGTTGTCGTAGGTACTGGGAAGGTGGGAACAAAAAATAGGGTTGTGGGTTGGGGTGGGGGCATGAGTTACGAGGTCAGTTGATGGCAAGTATGCTTTTGAGGCAAGTATTCCTTTGAGTAATGCACTTCTATGCCATACCATTAACCTAGGGCAGTGGTAGATCTTAAGGACAAAGATTGATTGACTGATTTTGTTTTTTTTTTTTTCAAATTCCTTTTACCAAAAGACAGAGATAATAAAACAGTACTTATATTTGAGAGGTGGTGATGGTTATGGTCAGGAGGACCAGCTAAAAAACATAATGTCCAGGCAAGGTAAGGAAAAGCTCTGGGGTAGACTGTAATAAACATAACAGCAAACACTATGAACCAGACACTATCAACAGTTTATCAACCTGTAAAAGCTTATTACAGCTACGGAGTGGCTCATGCCTATAATCCCATCACTTTGGGAGGCCGAGGTGGGTGGATCACCTGAGGTCAGGAGTTCAAGACCAGCCTAGCCAACATGGTGAAACCTGTCTCTACTAAAAATACAAAATTAGCCAGGCTTGGGAGCGTGAGCCTATAATCTCCACTACGCGAGAGACTGAGGTGGGAGAATCTCTTGAACCCAGGAGGCGGAAGTTGGTTGCAGTGCGCCGAGACTGCGCCATTGTGCTCCAGCTTGGGCAACAGAGTGAGACACTGTCTCAAAAAAAATTATTATAATCCTATGAACTACCTAATGTCATTACTATAATGTAGATGAAGAAAATGGAACACGGAGAGTTGACAAAACATCCCCAACCACACACTAGGAATGAGTTGGTACAGGAACCCAAACTAAATGCCACATACAGGAGCTGACTTCGGAAAAAAGAGAAAAGTACTGGTCGCACAATACTAACTGGTTCTACGGCCACTGTTCCCTTGCATTTTCTTTTCCTTCTTGTTAGGAACACTTATCTTTGAAGGAGGTATCATTTCTTCCACAATTCATTTAACGTTTCCTCGAGTGTAAGCACCACCGAGGCCACTCACAGCCCCAGAATAGAAGTAATCTGCCTCCCAGAAATCTTCACTGTACCCAGATTCCCTCCCAGAGGAGCCATCAGTTCTCACGGGTGGCACTCTCTTCTCCAGCTGATTACACTTTTTATCTGTATCAGTTAATTTTTCCAGCTTCTAATTGAATAAAGGCAGTTTTCTTTAAAAAAAAAAAAAAAAAAGAGAGAAAGAAAGAGAAAGAGAGAGACGGAAAGGAAGAGGAAAGAAAGGACAAAATGAAGGAAGGAAAGAACGAACGAGAAGGAAAGAGAGAGAAAGGAAGGAAAAGAAAATAAGAAATAGAAGGGACCTGCAGAAACGATTCACCACGCGCAGCTGACCCTGGGAGGAGCCATAGGATGAACCAGCGCCTCTCAGGCTGGACGCCCGCCGGGGACACCGCAGACAGTCCCACCCCCAGGGGCGACAGCGACTCTTCTGAATTCCGGAAATAACCTTTTCTAGAGGGACCGGAAGCCCGGTGGGGACAGTGGCAGGAACGGACTGCCCAACCAACTGTTCTTCCGGGTCCGGAAGGTGATCTCCGCCCATGCTCAGAATCCAGGGGCCCGGGTCCGTAGGTAGGAGTGAGATGGATGGGGTCCCTTAACCAAGGTCGTCCAGTCCAGGTGGCGTGTGTTGTTTGGCCTAACGTGTCAGTGACACAAATCACGCGAATTCATAAACATTGACAGTTCGGAAGCCTTTCTAAGATGCATTTAATCCCTGCGTGAGCCCACGTTAGGCATTCACGAACGCATGTGCGCTGTTCTCTCGGAAGCCGCCGGCTGGCTTTCCCTCCTCGCAAGCCGCTGCGGGTGCAATTCCTCACGTCCCAGTCTACCCTGGACTCAAGGGCTTCTGGGCTCCGATTTGAGGCGAAGCCACCCCAGAACTGTAATTTTTCTGCAGTGATTTATTTTTACCTTTCAGGTAAGTTCCAAAGCTTCCAACTCACATTCAGACATTTCCACTAACGCAACTACGTATTTGCAACATACTTTTTTTTTTTTTTTTCCAGATTCCTTGCCAAGAATATCCTAGCGGCGAAACACCGTCTTACTGGGGGTCAGAACGTCTGGGTTCTGGTCTTGACTGCCATTAACTAGCGGTATGACATTGGAGAAGTCTTTTTGACCCCTCTGAGTTTCCGTTTCCTTTTCTGTAGAATGAGGAGCTTGGAATAAGTGATAACTAAGCTTCCTTCTAGTTTTGACATTTGGGTTATTGCCTCCAATGTGTCTTGCCAGTTCCTGCCTCAATTACATATCTGTGCTTTGGTTAATATCCTGTAGGGTCCTTCCTGCCATTCCATTAATCTGTGCTCTTCTCAAATCTGGTTTCATACTCATTTAAAAATTATTTCCTCAAGTTATCCTGTGTTTCCCGAGCACTCTACTTCTTGGTCCAAGGGCACAAACCTAAGTCAGATTTTTCTATGTGCCATTCTTAAAAGTATTTAATATGTGTAAATGAATATTGAATGAATTTTCAATTTTTTTTTTTTTTTTTTTTTTTTTTTTTTTTTTTTTTTTTTTTTTTAGACAGAGTCTCACTCTTTCACCCAGGCTGGAGTGCAGTGGCATGATCTCGGCTCACTGTGGTCTCTGCCTCCTGGGTTCAAGCGGTTCTCCTGCCTCAGCTTCCTGAGTAGCTGGGGTTACAGGCATGTGCCACCCCGCCTGGCTAATGTTTATATTTTTAGTAGAGACGGGGTTACATCATGTTGCCAGTCTGGTCTGGAACTCCTGACCTCAGGATCCGCGCACCTCAGCCTCCCAAAGTGCTGGGATTACAAGCATGAGCCACCACGCCCAGCCTGAATTTCTAAATCTTAATGTGTTTATTTCATTGGCATTAAGTCAGTTTTTTTGTTGACCTTTACTTGAATAAACTTTTTAAGGTAAAATGCTTGCTCGATTACACACACATACACAACTTTATAATTGTCCGAAGGTAAGCAAGTTAATGACTTGTGAATATTTTTAACTTATAAGCAATGAATCCTCAAAGCATATAAGCCAGTACTATAACATGTAATATGGTTTTAAAATAGCTGATGATAAAGTATATATATCATCCCATTTTCTCCTCATAGTCTTGTAATAGGAAGGACAGATGTTCAAAGACTTATTTATTTTTTAGCAGATCGGGAAAATGAGGCCCACAGGAAACAAATGACTTGCTCAGTCCAGATAACACTTACTGTCAGAGTGAGTGTCCATCTAAGTTTCTTTTGTTGCCTAGTAAGATTTCTTCACTGTACTGTATCTGTTTCAGTTATCATTTATTTCTTTTTAAAAATATTCAGTATAGGCTGGGTGCGGTGCCCCATGCCTCTAATCCCAGCACTTTGGGAGGCCAAGGCAGGTGGATCACCTGAGGCTGGAGTTCAAGACCAGCTTGGCCAACATGGTGAAACTCCATCTCTACTAAAAATACAAAAAGTAGCTGGGCATGGTGGCAGGCACCTGTAATTCCAGCTATTCAGGAGGCTGAGGCAGGAGAATTTGCTTGAACCCAGGAGGTGGAGGTTGCAGTGAGCCGAGATTACGCCACTGCACTTCAGCCTGGGCGACAAGAGCAAAACTCCATCTCAACAACAACAAAAAACATGGGAGGCTAGGTTGCAGTGAGCTGATATGTACCACTGCACTCTAACCTGGGTGACAGTGAGACTCCATCTCAAAAAAAAAAAAAAAAGAGGCCAGGCGTTGTGGCTCACGCCTATAATCCCAGCACTTTGGGAGGCCAAGACGGGCAGATCACAAGGTCAGGAGATCAAGACCATCCTGGCCAACATGGTGAAACCACCGTCTCTACTAAAAATGCAAAAATTAGCTGGTCGTGGTGGCGCTAATCCCAGTGCCACCCGGAGGCAGAGGTTGGAGTGAGCCAGGATTGTGCCACTGCACTCCAGCCTGGCAACAGAGCAAGACTCTGTCTTAAAAAAAAGAAATGTAACATATAATGTCTAGTTAGCAAAGATCACCTATCCAGAGCCTCAGTTTCTTTGGTCATGTCAAATATTATCATTTGTGAACTATTTTAAAGAAGAGTAGAAAATATAAATATATTTGTATAATGTATGCTATATATGTATACATATAAAACATAAGCATATTGTAGAAATACCACATTATGGGAGAAATCATTTACAATTATTATTTTTTTTTTTGAGATGGAGTCTTGCTCTGTCTCCCAGGCTGGAGTGCAGTGGCACAATCTTGGCTCACTGCAAGCTCTGTCTCCCAGATTCAAGCAATTCTGCCTCAGCCTCCTGAGTAGCTGGGACTACTGGTGTGTGCCACCACACCCAGCTAATTTTTTTGTATTTTTAGTAGAAACAGGGTTTCACTGTGTTGGTCAGGCTGGTCTCAAACTCCTTACCTCAAATGATCCGCTTGCCTCGGCCTCCCAAAGTGCTGGGATTTAAGGTGTGAGCCACCGTGCCCGATCAAAAATTTTAGGACTTCGTAAAAGTTTAGACTTTTGTTGAAGATAGCTTTATATGGTTAAGGTAAACACATTGAAATAGTTCATAATTTTTTGATTCTTTTTTTTTTTTGTAATGCTGAAGAATATATGTGTCCCTCAGTATCTATGGGTCATTGGTTCCAGGACTTGCACCCCCATATACTAAAATCTATAGATGTTCAAGTCCCTTGTATAAAATGGTGTATTTGCATGTAACCTAAGCACGTCTTCTTGTATACTTTATATCATCTCTAGATTACTTATAATATCTAATACAAAGTAAATGCTATATAAACAGTATACTGTATTAAGATATAATGACAAGGAAAAAAGTCTACATATTCAATATAGACAGAACCATCCTTTTAAAAAATTAAAAAATTTTTGATCCACAGTTGTTTGGATCCACAAGTCTAGAACCCATGGATACAGAGGGCTGATTGTAGTGTTTAATGATATAAAATAATATTCACAATATACTCTTTAGTGTAAATAGCTGTAAAACAAAATATTTATTTTTGTAAGTAAAATAGATAAAAATACAAATAAAAGAGTTGAAAAGATATAAAAGTGTTAACTAAAGTTATTTCTGAGTAGTGAGTAAAAGAAAATTTGAAGAGTCTAAAAGGCTGTGCCCACTACTTGAAAATGTATTCTCCATTGAAAAATAAACAAAAAAGCCTTAAAATGACTTTACAATTTATAGAAATAATTTTGCATATTATTGCAATGAAAATGCGACCCTAGGTTATAATCAGTCACTGTATCTAGCATCTAGTGTGCCTGAAATTCATTGTATTGGCAAGCTTGCTTTAACGACAATGAACTGTTTGTGCAACGGACCCTGGCTTATTAAACTTTGAATCAACAATATCAAGCACAAAGCCTGGCATATGGTACTTAGGAAATGTTTCCTAAGAAGAAAACATATTCTTCTCTTTTTTTTTTTTTCCCTTGAGACAGAGTTTTGCTCTTGTCACCCAGGCTGGAATGCAAAGGCATGATTTTGGCTCACTGCAACCTCCGCCTCCCAGGTTCAAGCTATTCTCCTGCCTCAGCCTTCCAAGTAGCTGGGATTACAGGCGCCCACCACCACACCCAGCTAATTTTTGTATTTTTAGTACATACGGGGTTTCACCATGTTGGCCAGGCTAGTCTCAAACTCCTGACCTCAGGTGATCCGTCCACCTCAGCCTCCCAAAGTGCTGGGATTACAGGCATGAGCCGCTGCCACACCTGGCTGGAAAACATGTTCTTACGTGGTTTTTATTGTTCCTGCCCTTAAAAACTGAAGAGCAAAGGTATAGAAATGCAGTCTTGAGAACAGAGGTACTAGAGGCCACTGGGAGGAAAATAATTATATTACTAATGAGGTCTGTTATAGTTTTCTCTCAAAAAACTCTTCTTTCATTCCAAGAATAATATTCAAAAGGCATTATTCAATAAATATTGGGTGTCTTCTTCGCACTATAAAGCATCTTTTGGGGGGGTAAAATGGGAAGATGGAAAAGTATTAAGAGTTGAAAGACAATTACAACTAGAGGAAGTGTGTGCAAAAGTTCAGAGATGAGATGACAAACCATCAGATTACAGGTGGATTGCAATAACCAAAGCTTAAGAGGTAGGAGTGGAGAGACTCTTAAGAGTGTAAGAAATAAAGTGAGGCTGGGCATGGTGGCTCTTGCCTATAATCTCAGCACTTTGGGAGGCCGAGGTGAATCACTGGATCCCAGGACTTTAAGACCAGCCTAGGCAACGTGGTGAAACACTGTCTCTCCCAAAAAAAACAAACAAAAAATTATCTGGGCATGGTGATGCATACCTCTAGTCCCAGCTATTTGGGAGGTTGAAGTGAGAGGATCACCTTAGCCTGAGAGGTCGGGGTGCAATGAGCTGTGACTGCAACACTGCACTCCAGCCTCCAGCCTAGACAATAGAATGAGACCCTGTTTCAAAAAAGAAGTTGCAGGGTGTTTAACAGAGAGGTGATCAGTTCGAATTTGCGCTTTAGAAAAGATTACTCTAGTTGCTGGGCGCAGTGGCTCACGCCTGTAGTCCCAGCACTTTGGGAGGCCAAGGTGGGCGGCTCACCTGAGGTCAGGAGTTCAAGACCAGCCTGACCAATGTGTAGAAACCCTGTCTCCACTAAATTAGCCGGACGTGGTGGCACATGTCTGTAATCCCAGCTACTTTGAGGAGGGGGGGGTGCGCAGGCAGAAGAATAACTTGAACCGGGGAGGCAGAGGTTGCCTTGAGCCAAGATCATGCCATTGCACTCTAGCCTGGGCAACAAGAGTGAAACTCTGTCTCCAAAAAAGAAAAAGAAAAATTACTGTAGTTGTGATTTGGTTTGCTGATATTTCAGGAGTGAAAAAAGAGCCTTTTATAGGTTGTTACTGTATTTCAATTCTGTCATAGTGGTAACATTAACAGTAATGATAATAACTAGTATCTAGAGAGTGCTGGGTATGGAATCCCATCTTTTGACAAGGCTCTGAGTTTTTTCAGGGTAGAAACCCAGTTTTACTCATAGTTGTAAGTCTAGTGAGCTAGGTGTAGCCCAGTGCTATGCATGTAGTAAATATCCAATTAATATTTGCTAACTTGATGTGAATAGTATTTTAAAATCTTTTTTTTTTCTAGGAGAAACATGAACCAGAAGCTACTGAAGTTGGAGAACTTGCTACGATTTCACACTATTTATAGGCAACTGCACAGTTTGTGTCAAAGAGGAGCATTAAGACAGTGGAAGCATGGGTTTTCATCTCCGTATCCTGTGTGGACAGCTCAGCTGTATCCCTGGCCCTGGCCAATAGATGTGCTCGTTGGGGCTGCTTTATCTCAGCATAGGCTTCTAGTAACGAAAAAGGTAGTTACAAATTTCTGTAAGTTATTTTATTATTTGGCCTGAGATGAAAGTGCCTAGAACCATGAATAAAAATCCATTTTGAGTATTTTATCATTTACGGAATATTTATTACTTAACGCTGTACTCCAAGCAATAGAGCTTTGTGAGAAAGGGAAGTTCTGGTTAATTGTGTGGTGCTGATGAATTTGCTCCCTTGGAAATTCAGTGTATAACAGTGAATTAAGGATGCAGGATTTTAGTTTCAGTCTAAGGTTTAACTTATGGGAGCATTTGTTGGTAGAAGTAGTAGCTATGGCCAGGAGCAGTGGTTCATGCCTATTATCCCAGCACTTTGGGAGGCTGAGGCAGGTGGATCACTGGAGGCCAGGAGGTGGAGACCTGGCCAATATGGTAAAACACTGTCTCTACTAAAAATACAAAAATTAGCTGGGTATGGTGGTACGTGCTTGTACTCCCAGATACTGGGGAGGCAGGGCAAGAGAACGGCTTGAACCCAGGAGGTGGAGGTTGCGGTGAGCTGAGATTGTGCCACTGCACTCCAACCTGGGCGACAGAGCAAGACTGTTTAAAAAAAAAAAAAAGAAAGAAATAGTGGCTATGATTGGGGTGGACATTCCAGAATAAATATAAGTTGTCACGTAAGTTTTTTCTTCCTTTTTGATTATATGTTCTGATTTTTTTTTTTTAATAGGAAGAAAGACCACGGAAATCTCAGTTATCTTCAACAAAGTCTAAAAAGGAAGTAGAAGTATGGCTTGGAATGACTGTTGAGGATCTGGGCAGGGCAATGGGAAAAAATACAGGTGAGTCAGATATTTTTACAGGGCAAAATATGGGAATGTTAGAAGACTAGGCATTTTATTTGCAATGAGATTTAGACATTGAAAGATTAAAAACTACACTGATACTTTAAAAATATATCAAGTCATCCCATTATTCTTCACTTTAGGTCATAATCCCTAGTTAGTTTCTTGACTCTGCCAAGTGTAGTTCTCTAAGATTTTGCTTTTAATGAAGGTGCAAAAGATTTTCTTATGTGAATGAAGATTTCTTTCTCGGAAATTTTGTGGGCTATTAGAATAAATCCAATGAATGTTTTCGAACTGAGGATCATACTTATATACTTTCTCTTTGTTTTCCTATAATTTTCTTTATTCTTTTTCTTTTTTAAATTTTTTTGAGACAGGGTCTTGCTTTATCCAGTGTAGTGGCACAATCATGGCTCACTGCAGCCTTGGCCTCCTGGACTCAAGTGATCCTTCAGCCTCAGCCTCCTGAGTAGCTGGGACTACAGGCATGTGCCACCATGCCTGGCTAATTTTTTATTTTTTATAGAGACAGAGTCTTACTATGTTGTTGAGGCTGGTCTTCAACTCCTGTGTGCAAGCAATCCTTCTGCCTCAGCCTCCCAAAGTGCTGGGATTATAGGTGTGAGCCACCATGCCTGGCCCTATAATTTTCTGATTTCCTTTTTTTGGCTCTTTCTATCATTATTATTATTTGAGATGGAGTTTCGCTCTTGTAGCCCAGGCTGGAGGGCAATGGCACGATCTTGGCTTGCTACAACCTCCACCCCCACGTTCAAGTGATTCTCCTGCCTCAGCCTCCCAAGTAGTTGGAATTACAGGCGCCCACAACCACACCTGGCTAATTTTTGTAATTTTAGTAGAGACAGGGTTTCACCGTGTTGGGCAGGCTGGTCTTGAACTCCTGACCTCAAGTGATCTGCCCACCTCAGCCTCCCAAAGTGATGGGATTACAGGCATGAACAACCACGCCCAGCCTTTTCACTCATATTCACAATATTTGTAAGGCCAGCAGAGAAACTGGTAGTAATAACTACAACTGGTCATAATATTATTTTTATTTATAAATGGAGCATGTTATTGTCATTTTTATATTCCCTTCATTGTGATGTACTTATTACCAATTTAGGATTTTTGAAACATAATTGAGTTTTCATTATAAAGTGACATTAAAATTCAATATTTGAGAAGTAGCCTATTATTGTAACGAAGTGCAACAGACTCTTGGGGAAAGAAGGAATTAATAGTAACTCATATATGTTGAGTTGTTAATATGTACCAGTATTTTCTTAGCTCTTGTAGAGGCAGGTATCCTTATTTACAGGCTAGGAAAGTAAAGTTTAGAGAGGATAATTACCCACTATTTGACAGCTAGTTTGTGGGAGAGTCAGGATTTGAACCTTGGGAATATGGCTCCAGAGCACATGCTCTTATTCACCAACCAAATTATCTCTCAAGAATTATTTTGTAAATCACAGCAATGCTAAGCTTCATTGTGTTTCCTGCCTGAAAGTGTTAACGCTTTTTGTGTATGTATATCCTTACAAAGAGTACAAAATTATTAGAACACTGGCATTTTTAATAATTTTGCAGTTGGATTATTCAGTCATTTTATAACTAGAAAACTTTGAGAATAAATGGATATGGCTATATCATTCAGAATTTTTCTAAGGAAAATTGTATTGGTGTGGTTTTATAAGTAGTCTTGATGATAGGCTTAATTTTTAAAACTTTTTTTTTAGATGGGGATCTCACTCTGTCACCCACACTGGAGTGCAGTGGTGCGATCGCAGCTCATTGCGACCTCCGCCTCCTGGGTTCAAGTGATTCTCCTCCTTCAGCCTCCCAAGTAGCTGGAACTATAGGGGCCTGCCACGATGTCTGGCTAATTTTTGTATTTTTAGTATAGATGGGGTTTCACCATGTTGGCCAGACTGGTCTTGAATTCCTGACCTTGTGATCCGCCCTCCTTAGCCTCCCAAAGTCCTGGGATTATAGGCGTCAGCCACCATGCCCAGCCTAAAACTGTTTTTATGACAATCGTGCTCTGTTGCCCAGGCTGGAGTACAGTGGCACGATCCTGACTCACTGCAACTTCTGCCTCCTGGGTTCAAGCAATTCTTATGCCTCAGCTTCTTATACCTCAGTAGCTGGGATTACAGGTGTGGGCCACCACACCCGGCTAATATTCATATTTTTAGTAGAGACGGGGTTTCACTATGTGAGCCAGGCTGGTCTTGAACTCCTGACCTCAAGTGATCTGCACACCTTGGCATCAGTGCTGGGATTATAGGCATGAGCCACTGCACCTGGCCAAACTTTTTATTATTAGCAATTATCAGACACATATGATAGAGAGTGGAATAAGCTTAAATGTATGTATAAGTCAGTGACAACAGTTATTTTATTTTATCCATAAATACTTCAGTATATATCTATAAAAGATGAGTACTCCCTTTCTTTTTTTTTTTTTTTTTTAAAAGGCGGGGTTTCACCGTGTTGGTCAGGCTGGTCTTGAACTCCCGATCTCAGGTGATCCACCCGCCTTGGCCTCCAAAGTGCTTGGATTACAGGCGTGAGCCACCACGCCCGGCCCTCCTTTTTTTTTTTTAAACATTACCCCTTGCCCCCACACACATAGAGGAACCCATAACCATTTTAGCATCCTTTAGTCTGACTAATAAATATATGATTAAAATACAAATTTATGCATTATTAGGCAAAAAATATGTATATATAAATTTAGTCTCATGGCGCAGTACTGTAAACCCCAAACTGATTTTCTGTGATGCAAACAAAAGGTATCTATTTGAATATTATGTCATATTCAAATATCTTCTGAATTATAGTTTTCATGAGGTTATTGTTTTTAACTACTATATACATTGGCAATATGAGTACGTTTTTTTCCTCCTCTCCTGGGTTAGTTAAGTAGCTTGACGTAATATGTCTTGTTGCAATATGTTAGACACTTTTCTACATGTAAATATTTATTTAAGTCTTGGATAAAAATAAAATAGTATATTAATACCATATGCATTTAATACAGAGGGTAAACCATTATCTCTCTGTGTAAGCTACCTCTCAGAAGTTCAGTATAATGTATTTGGAAAACTAGATTATTAGGTATTTTTAGCATTATTAGAATTGTACTCATAATTTTTTTTTTCTTTAAGACGGAGTTTTGCTCTTGTTGCCCAGGCTGGAGTGCAGTGGTGCAATCTTGGCTCACTGCAACCTCCACCTCTCAGGTTCAAGCATTTCTCCTGCCTCAGCCTCCCAAGTAGCTGGGATTACAGGTGCGCGCCACACCTGGCTAATTTTTGTATTTTTAGTAGAGATGGGGTTTCACCATGTTGGTCAGGCTGGTCTTGAACCTGCCCCCAGGTGATCCACCCACCTCAGCCTCCCAAAGTGCTGGGATTATAGGTGTGAGCCACCATTCCCGGCCTCCTCAGTAATTTTTGTTTTGAAATAGTTTTATAGTTCTCTGAGAGCATATTCACATGGTAAATTTGAGTTGTACCATTCTTAAAATGTGTTTCCTTCGGAAAGCATATGGTGGGGAGATAAACAGGAAATGGTTTCTTGGCATTATTATGGAGTAAGATCAGTGGCTTGCTGGTACTGACTTGCATCCGCTTGTGAGCTTATTGCTAAATTATAAGGAATTATGTGACCTGGCTGTTAAACACAACCATTTAGCCATAGAGGTGGTAAAAACTCTTCACTGGCTGGGTGCAGTGGCTCATGCCTATAATCCCAGCACTTTTGGAGACTGGGGCGAACATAACACTTGAGTCCAGGAGTTTGAGATCAGCCTTGGCCACATGGTGAAGCCCCGTCTTTACAAAAAAATACAAAAATTAACTGAGTGTGGTGATGTGAGCCTCTAGTTCCTGCTTCTTAGAAGGCTGAGATAGGAGGATTGCCTGTGAGGCGGAGGTTGCAGTGAGACAAGATCATGCTGGTACACTCCACCCAGGGTGACAAAGTGAGACCCTGCCTCAAAAAACCACAAACAAACAAAACCAACTCTTCACTTCCCAATTATTGTATTGCATTTTACAATTACCTATGTTCTCAAAGTTATTCATGCCTATCATATCTGTATGGTAGAAAGACTATGTAATAGTGTACTACTGTGCATCTCTCCCAACTCTGCATTCAGTAACTTTATTTGGTAACTTGTAATCAACCGTAGTGGGCATATTTGCACCATGGAAATTGGAGAATGCTGTAAATCAGTGATATATTTTTGAGAGCCTAGTTATTAAACATTTGCCAGCATACCAGTGAATAGGATGTTCTTTTAGTGTAATGTTCTGCTTCCCTGAGGATGCCTTTCTTCCTTTTTTTTTTTTTTTGAGGTGGAGTCTCACTCTTGCCCAGGCTGGAGTACAGTGGCACAATCTCAGCTCACTGCAACCTCCACCTCCTGGGTTCAAGAGATTCTCCTGCCGTAACCTCTGGAGCAGCTGGGATTACAGGCGCATGCCACCATCCCCAGCTAAGTTTTTGTATTTTTAATCGAGATGGGGTTTCACCATGTTGGCTAGGCTGGTCTCGAACTCCTGATCTCAGGTAATCCACCCACCTTGGCCTCACACAGTGCTGGAATTACAGGCATGAGCCACCGTACACAGCTACCTTTCTTTCATATCTATTCTTTTTTTTTCTTTTTTTTTTTTTTTGAGACGGAGTTTCACTCTTGTTACCCAGGCTGGAGTGCAATGGCGCGATCTCAGCTCACCGCAACCTCCGCCTCCCGGGTTCAGGCAATTCTCCTGCCTCAGCCTCCTGAGTAGCTGGGATTACAGGCATGCGCCACCATGCCCAGCTAATGTTTTGTATTTTTTTAATAGAGACGGGGTTTCACCATGTTGACCAGGATGGTCTCGATCTCTTGACCTCGTGATCCACCCGCCTCGGCCTCCCAAAGTGCTGGGATTACAGGCTTGAGCCACCGCGCCCGGCTTATTCTTTAAATATATTTTTATAGGGTGACTGCAAGTCTGGAACATAAAGCTACTTATTTCATTATCATCACAGATACCTTTATCATCCACAGGGAAACATGACTGAGATTAAAACAAAGCACATTAAATAAAATGAAAAAGAGAATAAGTAAATATTTTTCCTATATTTCAAGAGTTTTTGGGTTAAGTGCAGTAGCTTATACCTGTAATTCCAGAACTTTGGGAAGCCAAGGTGGGAGGATTGCTTGAGCCAGAAGTTCAAAACTAACCTGGGCAACATGGCAAGCCCCCTTCTCTACAAAAAATTAATAGCATGTGGTGGTGGCACCTGTGGTCCCAGCTATAATGGAGGCCAAGGTAGGAGGATCGCTTGGGCCTGGGAATTTGGGGCTGCTGCAGTGAGTTAGGATTGTGCCACTGCACTCTAACCTGGGCAGCAGTGCAAGACCCTGCCTCAAAAAAATTTTTTTAAATAAAAAATAAAGACTTTTTGGACACCATAAATAGATACATAAACAAGTAAATGAATTATGGATACATGTATTCAGAGATACATATTGTGGGTGTGTTGGTATGTGTGTACATACTGTCAGTTCTCATTATGCATGAATTATTTATTTATTTTATGTGTGGATTCTGTATTTGAAAATTCACCTGCTCAACAAAATGTATTTGCAGCACAAAAATCAGTACTTGCTGGGTGTGGTGGCTCATGCCCACAATTCCAGCACTTTGGGAGGCCAAGGCAGGCAGATTACCTGAGGTCAAGAGTTTGAGACCAGCCTGGCCAACATTGTGAAACCCTATCTTTAATAAAAATGCAGAAATTAGCCAGGGATGGTGGTGTGCACTTGCAGTCCCAGCCACTCTGGAGGCTGAGACAGGAGATTTGCTTGAACCTGGGAGGCAGAGGTTGCAGTGAGCTGAGATCGAGCTACTGCACTCCAGCCTGGGTGACAAGAGCAAAACTCTGTCCCCCACCAACCCAGAAAAAATATTAGTACTCAAGGTTCCCTTGCAGTTATTACTGGCCATGTGCAGAACAGTGAAAAATTTGAGTTGTCTGTTTTGCATGTTCTGAAGCTGAGGTTGAACGACATGACACTCTTCTTCGGCTCTCACATTGCAAACAAGTGTCCTTTTTGTGTTCTATTTAGTGACACACGTTTTCACATTTTTATGCTTTTTGTTGGTAATTTTGCTGTTCAAGTTGGCTCCTAAATGTACTGAAGTCCTATCTAGTGTTCCTAAGCCCAAGAAGGCTATGATAAGCCTTACAGAGAAAATATGTATCTCAGATAAGTTTGTTCAGGCATGTGTTATAGTATGATTGGCCATGAGTTCAATCTTAATAAATCAACTATATATATATATATATTAGAGTCTTTAAATAGAAATGCATAAAACAAAATTATGTATTGATCAGTTGTCGATATGTGTCTAAAGGCTTGCAGGAACCCAACTCTATGTTTCCCCTCAGAGCAGTGGTTCAATATTTGCTGATTCAGATGTTTTGGTGACTTTATAGAACATAATTATTGCAAATAATGGGAATTGATTGTATATACACATACACATTCGTATATACATGACATTTGTGACCTTAAATTTTTAGATAAATAGACTACAATCAATTATAAATACTAAATTTATACAACATGCAGCCTAATGTTTTGTTGATGATTCAGATGGCTTAGAAATATATAAATATTCAAATATTTATGAATATGTAGGAGTCAGTTAATAGAAATGTATCATATTTTTAAAAATCTAAAAACGTTTTTTAACTTCTTTGTGATTTTTTAATATTAGAGAAACAGTTTGCATAGTTATTTCTCTCATTGAGTGTGCTGTTTATATAGGCATCAATAAAGATTACTTTCTTGAGCATTTAATTAATGACCCTAATAAGTTTTATTTTATTCCAACCAGATTTTGTATATGAAGCTTTGTTGAACAGTGCTGTAGACATAGATTCACTGGAAGCAGACTCACCTTTAGATGAAGTCTGGATCAAAGAAGTGATAAAGAAAGCAGGGTTGAAGTTAAAGTGGAGTAAATTAAAACAGAACAAAGTCAGAAAAAATAAAGATGCTGTAAGAAGGTAAAACTTAACTGTATATACTGGCAGGGGATGGAGGAGACTACATAGTTATATTTACACTTTTTAATGGAACGATTTGCTTTAAAATTTCTTTTGTAATAAAGATATGTGTATAAACTTTTCTTGAAAGGACTTAAAGCACTACGTTCAAGTTATAAAACGTAGAGGATTCTTTTTAGATTTGCTGAATTATTATGTGGTCTGAATTCAGACTAAATTCATTGGTCTGAGTTTTCAAATTTGATAGAGTTCTACTCATTTTTATGAAAATGCAAACCACAGGTAGGCAGTTATTAAATAGTCTATTATAAGTCATTGTATGTATAGGAGGGGGAAATAGTTCTAATCAAAGCTGAATGTTGGATTTTATTGTTAATGGTAGCTCACAGAGATAACTGTGAACCAATTCACAGGCTATCAAGTATTTCTGATATTTAAGAAATGAAACTCCTTTGCTGTTAATTGTAGGCCCCAGGCAGATCCAGCTTTATTAACTCCAAGGTACCCAGTTGTTACTATAATGGGACATGTTGATCATGGGAAAACGACGTTACTTGACAAACTTCGAAAAACTCAAGTGGCAGCAATGGAAGCTGGAGGCATCACTCAGCACATTGGTGCCTTTCTTGGTATGAACACAAATTACCTTACAATGTGCTTGGGAACCCCACTTACTATTTTCTTAAACCAAATGTCGTAGTATAAAATATACAAATTCGAAGTAAAAGAGAAGACTAAAACTTACAGCCATTGGTTTGATGAAATGGTTAGTAAAGGTGTTTTTTGTACTTTCTATAAGAAGAAAATTATGTTAATT